TCATGACAATATCTAGCAACTTCAAATATCCTGATCATTTTTGGATAGTTTTCTTGCACCCTTCCTACATTCCCTCCTTTCTCTTATGTTACCTTGCTGTTGGCTCAGTAAACTGTACAGCAAAAAGCTCCTTGTTCCATCTTTATAGCTCATCTACTGCATTGTCATCGTGGCCCACAACAGGACCTCCTAAGTGTTAATAAAAATCAGAAACCAGACATACTGAACTCCAACCATTTAACAGTCTTGAAAAGAGGCAAGAAATCAATAGAGATCTACAACCGTAGCATAAGTGTACAAGGAAAACCAAGAGCCTACACATACACAATTGGTAACAATAATTAGCAACTGCAAACAAGTGTTTGTCATTCAGTTGTAACAACAACTTGCATGAACAGAATGATTTGGAAACTGTATCATTTCATCTTTGTAAATGAAACATACCTGAATTCCTGCGGATACTGCCTCACAAGCCAGCCCACATCTATACAGTAGTTAAACTTGTAGATAAGAAAAAGAAAACAGATTCATTAAAAAGAAAAAGAGTTTGTCAGAACAATCAACTACAAAAAAGAGCTTTCTATGTAAAGTCATTGCTCAACACCACTTACGTCATACACAGCACATTTTAAAGACAGGTGTATTTCTGAATTTCACGTGCTTTCTTTCACATCTCTTAATAGTTTAAATTCATTCCTGAATTGTTCAAAAGCATGTATTTGTGTTCATAATATTTAACATCCAGAAAAAAGAGAAACGCATACGCATAATGTAAAAGCTTTGGTTCAAGAGCCACCTCTTTGCCATGTGCTTGTACCACAAATGACAGCAAAAGCTTCTACATAGTAACAAAAATATCACCTGTAGATTGCAAGGCTTTTTCTTTCAAAAAATCATTTACATGTACATAAATATATGTTTTTCAGTTGCACATTTCCCCAAAACAGGAGAGAGAAAGTAGTCTTATAATTGCCCGAATGCTAAGCAGAACATGGAATGAGTTTTATATTTCAATAAATTGTCACACATTTAGAGTGTTAGAAACATTTAGAGTTCCCTCTGTGCTTCAACAAAGTTCCCTAGTAATATCAGCTACACAGCACAAACATGGATTATCAAGTTTAAGGTTAAAGTGAAATAAGCAAGTGCAATCAATTCGGCAAATAGGAAACTCACCTGGGCAGAAGACACGAGAGTCCCAAAAAGAGGAGACAAAATATCTATTAAAAACATTAAAGCATAATTGAGTAAAAAAAAAATGTTCAGTTAAACATTTCACATCTTGAACAGTTTGATAACTACCACAAGTGCCAGATTGTTCACAGACTTGGTGTAACAGAGACATTCACAATTAAGCTTACTATTCTGAATATACAAGTCACCCATCTCCTGTGAAACCCTTACTTTAACCCTCTCCAAGTAGAAAACAAATTTTAAAAACTCATCAAGAGAAAGACCAAGATCATAAGGAGAAAGGGACATCAAACTGCTCTCTCATCTGTAGAGCTTGAAGAACTGCGGCAGGGTAGAAGCAGTAAGGGCTTAGTTAATGCTTAAAGACTCAACTGTTGCAGCCTGATTGTATTATATACATATCCTTAGTTAATTCATGATGACATAGAAAGCTAATTCAGCTGAGGATTTATAACCTCAATAACTGAAGTACAGCAGCAACTTGAAACTATATCCTACAAATACCCTCTAGGATGGACTAAATATTTCATATCCTATCTCTACAGAAATCTGGTTTTGCAGGTTAAACAAACGAAAAAACCTCAGCCCCTCCACTAGCTCTGCTAATCACCTAGCAGGACAACTAGTCATAAGTGAGGACAGGCCAAAAGCCACAACGAATTCACAAAGCAGATAAAGACAGACAGTAATAAAGCAAGTGAGGTCTCTGACACCAGGCTGCCATCAGTAATCAACACTTATAGGGAGCACATGAGGTTGAGGAAGAGTCACAACCTAACTGTATAGGTCTTCAGTCATTTGTTCTCCTTCAAAGACCTACAAAATATTTTTGCCCCATTTTACTGTATTTCTGTGCTTAAATCTCTTATTAATACTAGTTTCTGATTCTGTCTTGTGATGCATGAGACTTCATTTCTGAATGAGGGGATGTTTACAGGTGCACAGAGCTGTTCCCTCTCACATCAAACCACAGCTATACAGCACTCCTGAAGCATCAGTATTGTACACTGAAAACTTCATCTTGACTTATACTGACTTTCAATCCAATTGAAAAGGGCCCATGAATCCCAGCCTCAGAACTTCAGAAGTACTAACCTGTACTGCATCAATTCATAGTGGATTACTAGGTCCAAACCACTCAGCAGCATGAAGACAGGTGCAAACAAATACTCACAGAGCATGGTTAGACACCCAGGAAAAGTATCCCTTTACGAGCCACAAAGGCAAGTGGTTTTCCCCAGATTAACAAAAAAGCACCAATAAGCAGCACCATGTGATTTGCCTTGGCTAAACTAACATTAGATTTGTGCAGCGTAACTCAGAACTTACAACAGAATCGGTATCAGCAAATTCATACTTTATACACTATACTTCTAGAAGAAGGCAAAGACAACAGAACCAATTCCTACAAGTTGCACATTTAGAATACGAAGCCTCAGTTACACCAAGGAATAACTGCATCTAAAAACAAGCATTCTCTTGCAAACAAGTCTCTCAAAAGCCCACTTCTGTAGAAGCCACTTATTCACCTTTTATGTGCAGTGCTCCAGAATTATAGCTCTTTTCAATTCCTCTGACTTTAGTGAGAAAAAACCTGAAAGGATTCCCTCCGTTCAACAAATCCCAGGTATCCTGAGCTTCGCCGGGTGCATCATTATACTCCTCTGCCTTCTGATTCTCCGAGAGTTCTTCATCTTTGCAAAGATTCGGAGGATGTTCTTTGGCCGCATCACATTTTTCTTCTTTCACTGTTTCTTCCTGGTCATGCTTTTCCTGATCTTCAACCTCTTCATCACTACTAGAAAGACACCAGCCTAAGCCTTCTTGGCTAGTTCTCTGTTTTTCTGTTGGAGGTATTTCTGTAGAAAATTTTTTATCACTGAGCTTCAGGGGAGAAGCTTTTCTCTTATGAGCAGCTTTCCTAGCTTCAGAGCATGGGTATTGTGGCCCACTTGTTCTGCCATGTGCAGCATCCGACAGTGAAGATGTAGATGGTTTTTCACTGTCAGAATTCTCCTCAGTGCTTTCATCACTGCTAGATACTGTCCATTTTCCGTGTGCACCTTCCTGAAGCATGGTACTAGGGATCAAAAAACAAAACACCAAAAATAAAAAAGTGTATTTTTGCTACGCTCAAGTCTGTTTTCCTTCCTAGTTTCCATTAGCTTACTACACAGGAGCTCTGCTTTTTATATTTGGCAGACTGTCCGTGCAGCTTCTGACTCGGGCAGATCCCACAGCACAGCAGGCTTACGGTCTGTTTCTGTGCCCGGGGAACAAAGCAACGCACGGGATGGCAGCGACCACCAAATGGGAAGCCGCCGGCGTGGAACAGGGGCTAGGGGAGCTTCACAAACTGAAACATAGGAAGTTCCGTCTGAACATGAGGAAGAACTTCTTCCCTCTGAGGGTGACGGAGCACTGGAACAGGCTGCCCAGGGAGGTTGTGGAGTCTCCTTCTCTGGAGATGTTCAAGACCCGCCTGGACAAGGTCCTGTGCAGCCTGCTGCAGGTGACCCTG